ATTTGGCCTGCGGAGGACAGAGTTGTCTGCGTGTGGTGTGGGGGTGCTGAGGATGGGCCGGGGCTACGGGGCAGTGACTGTCACCTCGCCACACCCGTGGCCATTGTACAGATGGGGAAACGGAGGCCCAGAGGAGCCAGGACCAGCCTGGATCCCAAGAGTAATAAGGAGTCTCCTGCTTCCCCCTTGGCCGCTCCTTCCCATCTTTCAAGGCCTGGGGCTGTGCTCCGGGAAGCCGGCCACATCCTGCTGGTGGCATAGCAGCTCTGCTGGGAAGTCCTCCTTGGAGTCAGACTTTCACCCAAGGATCCGGGACCGCGGGATGGTGCAGAAATTCCTCTCCTCCTGGTCCTCGTGGCTGCCTCGTGCCACCTCTGGCCAGAGTGGTTGGGCAGCTCCTGCCCCACTTGGGGCCTCAATGCCCCCATCTGTGCAGCTGGGCGGGGGCTGGGGGCCCTGCATGGGGTCTGTGCTTCTGGGCACCCACCGTGTGGTGGTGGGTTCACATGTGTGTGGATATACATGCGTGCCCTGGTGGGTGAGCTGCCGCCCACGGGCCTGCCCGCGCCTGGAAGGGGTCCCCAGGACCTGCTGCACAGCAACACTTGACCTACTTCTAAGGCTCTGGGTCTGGCCCAGGCCGCGTTCTCGACTCCTCCGGGAAGTGTGGGCCTGCATCCCAGCCCAGAGGCCTCGGGCCAGGAGGGGCGGTCTGGGGCGGGCCAGGGCAGCCTGTGGGGCCTGCGGCCAGGGGGACTAGAGCCCGACCCTCCTTCCCTGCCCCCGGCTCCTAGGCGCAAAGGATGGCCAGGCCTTAGCCATCCCTCCCTCCCGTCACCCTCCACCACCCCCTCCACGTGGTCACCATATTTTGAGCTCCCCAAATTGGCTCCGACAGGATGAGGGACATTCCTCATGCCCCTCAGAGGAGCACTACCAGGAAGGTCTGCCAAGCACTCACCCCCGCCTTTTGCCAAGATTTTACCCTCCCCCCTTCTCCTGCCCTTGTCTACACAGAGCCATAGGCAGTGCCATTCTGGAAGGCCAGCAGCCCCTGTCCTGGGTCCTGGTCCTGGGTCCTGGGTTCTGGGTCCTGGGTCCTGAGTCCTGGGTCTTGAGTCCTGGATCCGGACTCTGGGTTTAGGGTCCTGGTCCTCCGCCTAGGCTCTTGGGTCTGGAGTCTGGATTTAAGGTCTGGGTTTGGCATCCTGGGTTTGAAAGTCTGGGTCCCCGGAGTGCGGTCAGGTTCCAGGTTCTAAGCTGGGGGTTCAGATCCTGAGACCTGAGTCTGGAGTCTGGGTTTGGAGTTCCAGGTTCCAGGTCTGGAGTCTGGGTTCTGGGCTGGGATCCTGGGTTCTGGGGTTTGGGTTTGGATCCAAAGGCTGGTTTCTATCCCTTTTACGCCCCCTGCTGGCTGCTCCTCATGGTCAAATCGCTGCCGAGACCATGGAGTCACCCGGCCTTTTCAGGCTACTGAGAAGACCCTCAGCCAGGGGGTGGGAGTGGCAGGCAGAGCAGGCCTGGGTTGAGGTGGCAGCAGCTGTTGGCTGCCCTGCTGTCCCGGGGTGCCCCTTGCAGTGACCCAGACTCTAGCCAGTCTGCCAGCAACCCCCCCGCCCCAATCTCCCCTGACCCCATGCCATGGATAGTGTTTGGCAATGGGTCCCAGCCCCCTGTGAGAAATGGGTAAATTGAGATGTTTGGGACATTTGTTCGTCCCACACTCATTAAGTGCCTACTGTGTACTAAGCTCTGCTGGAGACTCTGGGGATATATAGATGTGAGACAAAAACTCCTCGATGCTGGCTGACACTCATGGGTTGGAGGGGATCCACAGGAGAAACAAGATAACAAAGAAACAGGTTCGTTTCAGGGTGCACAGCGATGGGGAGTCAGGGTGAGAGACAAGGCAGAGGGAACAGACCCAGGGTCGTCTGAAGAGGCTTCTCAGAGGAGGTGACATATCCCCGAGACCAGGGGGTGACCAGGAGCTAGCCATGGCCAGGGTCCCAGCCAAGGGTATGAGGGGAGGAAACAGCCTATGCAAAGGTATCAGGGCTGGAAATTAACCTAGAAGGAGGCCAGTGGGGCCAAGTGTCTTCTGCCTCTATACATGGGCCCCTCAGAAGTCAGGGCCCACATCTTTCCCAGTATCCTCCTTGGCTGGGGAGATGGGGGGGCTCTGGAACGTGGGACTTGGGAGCCTGCGTCAGACTGGGTCACCACTCAGGCGATGGAGTTGGAGGAACCAAAGGGGTAGTAGTATCCCGACCCTACCCCTGTCCCCAGGCTCTCCAGACCCCTCAGGCCCTGCCTGGATCTTGCCTGCTGGCTATCATTCCTGAGGGGCACAGAGCTCAGGCTGGGACTTGGGGGAGAGAGGAGAGCCAAGCCTTAGTGTGGCCCACCCTTACCACCCACTGCCTGCCCCTCCCTCTTCTAATGCCCCGCCCCCTGCTCAGCGGCCGGCCCACCTGCCCACCCCCTGCCTTGCTTCTGGCCTCAACAGCCTAGCCTGCTGGTTGTAGACGGGGCTGACCTCAGCAGAGCCCCTGCTGGGGGCTGGGGGTTAGTTCTAGCTTAAGAGCGCTCCCAGGAGCCCCAGCCCCAGCCTCTCCGTCTGAGCCCTGGGGAGGGAGTGGAGGATGGCTCTGTGCCCCGTGTCCCCACTGCAGGACCACATCTGCCCTGTGCATGAGGGAAGGGGACGGGGACTGCCCTCCCCCCAGCCATGCTCCCCCAGGCAGAGGAGGTGGTGCTGGGTGATTCTGACTGGCTGTGTGAGCCTGCCCACCCCGTAGCACAGACCTGGAGGCTGAGGCTCAGGAGGCCCACATCACTCACCTGCCCCTGTTCAGGCTGGTGTTGGGTGGTTTCTGAGGCATGGCAGTTATGTGCGGATGAAAGAAATGAGATCAGAAGTCTGGGTGACCCTGAGTACGTCCTCTGCCCCGGGCCTCGGTTTCACCCATGATGAATGAAAGGGGGTTGGGTAATATCTTGGTTGTGCCTGTGGGTGGCCGGAGTCCCCATGAGGGCCACTGGGCCTGGGCAATGGGGCTGCCCAGAGGCCTCTCTCTGTGTGTCCCCCTCTGGCTGTGTTCTCTTGTGGTATTTCTGGCTCGTCTCTGTGGACCCTCCCCCCACCCCTTTTTTTCTCAATACTCTTGCCAAACATCTGGAAGGAAAGTGAAAAACTTGCCTCCCCCCCAGCACCGGATGTTGTCAGATTTCCAGATGTGGGGTGTTCTGCCCTCCAGATGAGGGGAGGAATGTCCTGTGTTTCAGCTAGGAGGGGGCCGGACCCCATCCCTCGACCGCTGTCTCCCTCTCCATGAGGATGAGTGACAAGATCAGAGGGACCTGGCCTCAGCAGGAAGACAGTGCGGGGACTCCAGGTAGAGTCCCCCTCCCCCCATAAATCCTGCCTTCAGGCTCTGGCCCCAGCCCCTCTCCACACCCAGGAATTCCCCCCAGGGCCTGGAGGGGGGGGGGCATTGCCTCTGAAGTTTCTATCAAAGGCTCCAGGCACTTAAAAATAACAAGGAGCACCTCCTTCCCACCCCCGGCACAGACGCCCAGGAGAGGAAAGGAGCCCAATGTGCTTGCAAGATGTCCTTACTCTCAGAAGTAAGGACGTTTGCCCAGAGGGGCCTCATGCCACCTCAGCCTTCCCACCTCCCTGACTTTCCCAAATAGTGGCCTGGCCAGGCTGCCCTTGGTCACTGCCATCTGCTGAGGGCTGGGCACTGGGGTGGGCACCAGGGGGCAAACCTCGCTCAGCTCCCTGAGGTTCCTCAGAGACACAGAACCTCCCCCAGCTCCCCCCCTGCCGCCCCGAAAAGGACCAGCAGAGGCGTGGGTCGGTGGGACACCGACAAGGAGCTGCCAGGGAGAGGGGGCTGCGGGGCCTGGAATGCGCCAAGCAGAGCAGGGGCAAGGGCACCCTGCAAACGGGGCAGGGGGTACGGGGCCCGGCGAGGGCCGGCCCCGAGCTGTGTGGGTAAAGTGGGCCACAGGCCGGTGCAGGGAAGAAAGGAGTTAGGAAGTGAAGTGAAATGGAGGAGCTAGGGGCAGGGCCAGCCAGGTGCAGGTGAAGGGGGCTGTGGGGGCTGCTAGGCTGCCCGACTGGGCTGGGTGGCTGTGCCCTCGGGGGAGTGGGACCCATTCCATTGCCCCCGGCGGTGTTTCTGGGGCCCCTCAGGCTGGGGCTGCAGCTGCCTGTGAGCCATGACCAGACCCTCACACAAGATACATATAAACACCCAGCCACAAACACACGGAGACGGCACTCACAGACACATGCACGGAGACACACACAGACACGTGCGTACGTATAAACACCCAGACGCAGACCCGCCGAGCAGACACACAGGCAGGCACGGGCCGTCCCCCCCAGACACACAGATGAAGCACACAAGGACCCCCCCCCGAAATGTGAAGACAGCTAGACAATACACTGATACACATAGATGCTCCCGCCATAGATAAACAGACACACGCAGAGTCTCCCTCCCCCGCCATGGACCCACTCCCCCCCCCCCCCCCCCCCACCCCCCCCCACAAACACACAGACCCAGACGCGTGGGAATTCGAGGCACAGCCAGGAAGTTTAACTCAGGAGGTGCCCTTAGGTAATCACAGTCCTGCCCCACCACAGCACACACTTGGTCCAGCCTTCTGGTCCTGTTCAATTTATCACCTGCTGAGGGTTGCTGTGCCTATGGGTGCGTGTGCATTGGAGGGTGAGCGTGCGTTGAGCAGTGGCCTCGGTCCTCTGCTCCCCCTCCCCCTCCCTCTCCCCAACAGGTGATTGGGAGGAATGAGAGTCCTCCCTCTCCCCCACCCATTCCTGAGCCTGAACAATGCCCTCCCCAGGCCCCAAAATAGCCCCTGAGCTTAGCCAATGTCCTTTTATGGCCCTGTCCCTATTGTGCACTGTGGGGGTGGGGCTGGGGTCAGGAGGTGTCTGGACAGGATAAAGGCCAGACCCCGGAGCCTCACCTACCCTGCTCTCTGCTTCCCTCTCTCCGTGTCCCTCTCCGTGCTTACAGCTTCCATGGCCCCCAAAAAGCCAGACTTCAAGAAGGACGACAAGGCAGCCTCCAAGGCAGCTCCTGCTCCGGCGCCTGCACCTGCACCTGCACCTGCGCCTGAGCCCGAGCGCCCCAAGGAACCTGAGTTTGATGGCTCCAAAATCAAGGTGGGTGTGGGGGCTGGGTTTCAGCAGGAAAGACAGGGCAGGTAAGTGGATCCTGGAGTGGACCTACCGGGAAAGTGAGGGCTGGGCTGAGGTTGGAAGCGTCTGTGCAGAGGTCAGACAAGCCCCGGGGGAAGGGGAGGGGCTTCAGGCATCAGGAGGGCTGGTGGTCAGACATCAGGCAGGACTCCGGGGCTACTGAAGGGAAAGTCTTTGGGTGGTTTTGGAAACTGTCCTTTGCCCTTCTCCCTGGACCTCACATTCTTGGGGAATCCTGGAGCCGCCCGGACCCCGACCCCTGCAGCCAGATAGAGATCTTCCTTGTTCCCCTGTGGGGTGTCACGTCCATGCCAAGCCCCCCAGGGTGACCGGGGTGGGGGGCAAGGGGGAGTGAGGCCCCTGCCCAGGCTGGGTCACACTCACCCCTACCAGGGTGGCCGAGCCCCAGAGCTGGTTGGACCTCAGCTTTTAGGTGGGGAAACTGAGGCACAGGCTGAGTAGTTCACTCAGGAAATTGGTCTTGGGGCTGTGACCAGTGGACCCAGAGCCCGTCCCCAGTTAAGAAGTCTTTCTCCGAGCCTAAACTTGGAGGAAGAGCCATGACTCCCGTGACATTTGCAGAGTGACACGCACCGTGTGTCCTGCCTGCTCCCTGTTCTTGGCTGGCCACCGGTCACTGCTGTCCTGGCTGCTGGCTGAGGGGCCCTGTGGAGTCCTCCCACCTCCTCACAGCTCCTGCCTGTTCAGACAGACCTGAAGCCCAACTGCACAGACTATCTTTGTGATCCCTTCCGGGGGAGGGGGGGCTACCTTGTCCCTCAAGACATGGGCTCCAATCCCAAATTTGCTCCATCCTGTTCCCTGCTCTGGGGCGTGGCTTCCTCAGATGTGACATGGGACAAGAAGCCCTCCTTGCAGGCTCCTGGGAACTGTTTGGGGAAAATGTTCCCTGGAGTTGGCTCTCTGAGCCCCCAACCACCCCCAGGGTCTAAGCTTGTGTCCCGCGGGCCCCCTGGTGGCCTGGTCCAGTCTCACCGGCTGACAGACTCCCCTGTGAGGGGAGGGCACAGTGAAGCCCGTCATGTGTCCCCCTGGCTCTCCCCATCGGGCTGGCCAGTGAAAGGCAGGAGGCTTTGCCAGGAGGCTCAGGAGTCTAATCTCAGCAGGCTTCCTGGTGGTGAGAGAGGTCTCAGGGGCCGGGAGCAACAAGTTGTTCTTCCAGCACAGGGTTGAATCCAAGAGCCAGAAGAGACGAACAAGGCAAGGTGGCCGGGCAGGAAATCCCTCTGCACCGGGGTGTGCCCAGTTGGTGGGGCTCCCAGGGAGCAGCAGTGGGAGATGTGCCAGGCATGCCCTCTCTCCCAAGCTCCTTTCCCTCCTGCGACCTTGACCTTGGGGCGAGTGACTGCAGTGATAAAAATAGACATGGTATCCAGTGAGGAGGGGGAAACCGGGTCCCAGGAGGCCTCCTGACCTCAAGTGGCTCTCTGATGTGGCCTCAGTGAACACTCAATACCACCACCGTGTCCCCAGGCTGTGCTGGGGTGGGGGCTGCCGGGGGCTTGTGGGTGAGGTGTGTAAGACCCAGGTGTAGGCAGGGCCATGTGAGTGACAGCGCCCAGCCTTGAGGTCTCTGTGAAGGGCAAGCGTATGTAAACACTTGCAGACACACGTGTGTGAACACCCACAGGCATATCTTACACACATACACACACACGCGCGGGTGCGTGCACACGCACACACACCTGTGGATATGCTCTCATGCTGACAGAAGCCCACGCTCACTCACGTGGACAGCCTTGCCCACCGAGCCCCAGGCCTGCTGGGGGGTGGCAAAGCCAGCCTGGTCAGATCTGCTGGCTTCAGACACATCCATCCAAGACCAAGGGCATCAGGTAAGGTGGGCTACCCTGGGCTGGGGGGACTCAGGGCACCAGGCCAGCCTTCTCGCCCTTCCCCAGATATGGCCCACCAGCCATCAGGGTCTGGGCACACGCGGACCCAAGGCCCTCAGCTTGCACAGACTGGGAGGGGTGAGGAGGCAGGAAGGTGCCAAGGTAGATGGCAGGTCATGGGGGCAGAAGCTGGGATGCTGGCAGGGGGAGACTGCCAGCCTCCTGGCAAAGCCTCCTGGCTTTCACTGGCGAGCCCGATGGGGAGAGCCAGGGGGACACATGGGGCAGCCAAGAGTTTGAGGCCTGGGCTGTGCCCATGGAGCGCGCAGGTGGAGATCTGGCCCCACCCTCTGAGCCGGGCACTCAGAATCTTTGGGGTCTCCTTTCAGATCGAGTTTACACCGGAGCAGATTGAAGGTAAGTGAGGGTCTTGAGCCCAGGGGCTGCAGGGTTGGACCCAGGGCCCCCAGTCTGAGAGTCTGGCCAGTGTGGGGTGAGTGGGGCGGACTCTGTGAGTGTCCACAGTTCACACCCTCTCCTGGCAGAGTTCAAGGAAGCCTTCATGCTGTTTGACCGCACACCCAAGTGTGAGATGAAGATCACGTACGGGCAGTGCGGGGACGTCCTGCGGGCGCTGGGCCAGAACCCTACACAGGCCGAGGTGCTCCGTGTCCTAGGGAGACCAAAGCAGGAAGGTTGGTGTGCGTTCATGCATACAGAGGCAGGTCTCAGGCTGTGCTGACATGGTAACAAGCAGTGAGCTTGCAGAACCATCCCGCCCCATGCTCATTCGCCACCCAGCCTCAGTGGCCACCTCCTGGTCTTTGCCATGTCTCTCTGGCGTTCAGGGCCAGACTCCCTCGCCACTTTTGCCACAAGAGGGTTGCCAGGGTTGCCACTTTGCCCCAGGGAGGCATGGGACCCAGGCCCCCTCCACAGGTTGCAAAGTCCCAGGGAAGGTCTCTGATTGGCCCCACTGCTCCTGAGCAATCCCTGGTGGTGGGGAGGGTGGGGTCTATAAGAAAACCAGCAGCAAACTGTCCCTGTGAACAGCAAACGATTACGTAAATGATGCATGTCTCGCTTGACTGTAGAGTGTCCCGTGATGGGGATGTGGTTTGTAAGTGGCCAGCTGGTGTAGAGTGCTTTGGGACTGTGTGAGGGCAGTAGCTCTGCACTCTGCCATCCGGGGGGGACGGCTGTGCCTGTCCTGCCCCTCAGAGCGGCCTTACCTCCCCAGAGCTCAACACCAAGATGATGGACTTCGACACCTTCCTGCCCATGCTCCAGCACATCTCCAAGAACAAGGACACGGGCACCTACGAGGACTTTGTGGAGGGGCTGCGGGTCTTCGACAAGGAGGGCAATGGCACGGTCATGGGTGCCGAGCTTCGCCACGTGCTGGCCACGCTAGGTGAGGGCCCCCTTCTCCTCACCCCCACTCCTCCTTTCGGGGGGGCATCCTGGGGAAGACCCCTCTGTCACCCGCTGAGCCCGCATCTGATCTGTGAAATGGACAGAGTGACACGGTCAAGGGCCCTCCACGGCAGGTGACAGAGATGTGGGGAGTTTAGAAGTTTAGGTAGGGACAAAGAAAGTGTGTTGGTGCAGCTCACGGAAACGAAGGGGGATAAGGACAGCTCTGGGGACAGAGTCGGGGGCCGGGGGCAGTGTGGTGCATCCAGCATGACCGGTTCAGTCCTGGTGTTCGTGGTCTCAAGGTCAGATTCCAGGGACACAGCAATGAAGTGGCCCAGTAGGTAAGGGGTCTGCTTCTTGGGCATCTTGACTCCGTCATCTGGCTGACTGACCCCCTTCTCAAAGGAGATTTTCGTACAGAAATGTTTATTGAGCACCTACTATATCTGCTCAAAGCAACTTTTCCCTGCACCAGACATTAACTGAACTCCTACTGTGTGTCTGGCCCTGGGCTGGTCTCTGGGGTTTTGTGTGTGTGTGGCTGGGGGTAGGAGGTCACCCCCCATTCCAGTGCGGGGACCAGTGTAGCACACAATACCCAGAGGCAGGAAAGTGGCAGACTTGTCTGGAGAACAGAGATGTTGTCTCCTTGCCTCCTCCACCATCATCCCCCAAGGCCCTCAGCTCCGCCCCATGGGCCCTTCCTCTAGTTCAAAAGGCTGCCCCAAGGGACTGCTTCCAGGGACATGGGGGGCCTGGCTTCCTCTTGATGGAAGGGGTCCCCAGCAGCCTGCCGAAAAAAGGGGACAGTGTGTGCTGGGGACTTGAACACCAAGCCGGTACTGTTATGGACAGAGCCCAGGCTTGGAGGGTGCGCCAGTCCTGCAACCCAGGTCTCCCCCATTTTTGACTTGTCATTGATTCTCCTGGTCTCAGAAATGGGGGTGGTGGCCAAGGCCTTGTGAGCCGGGATGACTGTGTCAAAGTGAGGTGTGGGAGTACTAGGGAGGCATCCCACCATCCAGAGGGGCTCCGTGGCCCCCCCCCCCGAATTCATACCCTTCCCACGGTGCTGACTCAGCCTCCCGGGCCAGGTGAGAGGCTGACAGAAGATGAGGTGGAGAAACTGATGGCGGGGCAGGAAGACTCCAATGGCTGCATCAACTATGAAGGTGCGCTAGCTCGGCAGGCTGGGGGCTGGGGTGGGGCACTGGGACCCTGGGCTTCTGCCCGTGGCCACTGGGTGCTCAACCCCTGCCACTCGCTCTGCCCTTCTTTGCAGCTTTTGTGAAGCACATCATGGCCAGCTGAATCTCTCGTCCCAGGTGAGACCTCCACTCCTTTCCAAACCTGCTGCCACCTTTGCGGCCTCTGCCGACCTCAGCTGCTGTCGCCTCATGCCCCAGCTTCCAGATTCCGCATTGCTACCTCCCCATCTCCACCGAGTCCAGCTCTCAGTTGACGCCCTGCTGTCTTGCCCCATCCCATCCACTGTAACCTGTGCCCACCTTTATTCTCAGGGAGAGCCCATGCTGGGGACAGCTCATCTCCCACTCATGGTGCCGACGCCAGCCACCTGGAGCTGCGGGGAGGAGGGGAGCGCATTGAGACTCCTACAGCAGCCCCCTCCACCGGCCCTGCAGACCTCTGGGTGCCTGTCATCTCCCCCTACAAGCTGTGCATCTCTGTCCTCACCCCATGGGCCTCACGAATAAATGGCATCTTTCCTTCCTTCCTTCCTTCCTTCCTTCCTTCCTTCCTTCCTTCCTTCCTTCCTCCCTCCCTTCCTTCCTTCCTTCCCTTCCCTCTCTCCGTCCTTCTTTCCCCTCTCTGTGGCCCTTTGGTTGTTCCTGTAAAATTTATGAGCCCCACATGGTGAGCCCTGGACAAAATGAGGGGAGTCATGATGAAATCCTGCCTCCTTGCTCCCCCTCAAAACTATCCCAAACCCTCTGAGCCTGCCCACCAGGACCCTGGGGTAGGAGCAGGGCTGAGCTGGAAGAGGGCTGGGTGCCCCTCCCTTGCTCTTGTCCTCCCCTTCTCCCTTCAGGAGGTGGCACCACCAGCAATCAGGGATCCATGGGGAATTGGCCCAGGGCTGCCCATGTCATAGGTGGGGAAACTGAGGCCCAGAGCAGAGAATGGCCTTACCTGAGGCACCCTGGGAATGAATGGCAGGGCGGGAGCTAACTTTGTCCCCAGGCTGTCAGAATAGAAGGGGCCTTAGACTCCTGACTGGCTCAGATGGGGAAACTGAGGCACTGTGCCTGTGGTGTGGCTGTAGGCCAGAGGAAGAGGCTTTACTGGGGCAGTATCTGGGGTCCCCCGTGGGTTCCCTAGCCCCGGGCTTCTCAACAGAAGATAAGTGTGCAGTCCCTGCAATGACAGAAGGAGGTACATACACCTCCTGCAAATCCCTGCCCCATTGCCCATACGCTGCTCAGGTGGCGGGGGGAGGCCCTTCCCTCCCCTTGGAGCCCAGTGGGGAGAGTGAGAGGGGGCTTCCTGGAGAAGGTGACCCACCATGCAGAGAGGCTGTGGGCCCTAGGGCAGGGGGTGTGGGGGAGATCAAGGGCTCAGAATGGGGAGTGGGCCACACAGGGTAGGAATCAGCCTGCAGGCCAGGAGGACCCAGGTCAGGGCAGTTCCATCAGGGTGCATGCGAGCGCGTCTGCGTGGGAGGGGAGCCTGCGCGAGTGGGTCTGAAGACGAGCACAGCTCGGGCTGCCTGTGGGCATTGGTGTGGTGTGGGGACCTGCCTGCGAGCATGTTGGGATCGTGAGTATGAGTGTGTGGGGGGCATGTGCCAGCAGTGTATGTGAGGCTGTATATGCGAGGGGTGGGAGTGTCTCTGCAGGAGTCTGTCTCATCTTCCTTTCATTGTCTCCGAGTCTCTGGAGCACCGCCTGAGTGCCAGCCTCTGTCCTAGCCCTGCGAACCCCGGAGTGGAGAAAACAGTCAAAACCTCTGCCCTCACGGAGCTCACAAAGACCTGACAAATCACCCCCCATAAAGTGTGTCAGCCAGTGATAAAGGCTGAGGAGGGACCCAAGTAGGGGAGAGGCCGGGCGTGCGCGTGTGTGTAAGAGCTGGGAGGGGCTGACACGTTAAATCAGGAGGCCAGTGATGACCGGAGAAGGTAATAGCCAGGCAAAAGACTTAAAAAGAGAGGAAAAAATACCCAGAATATATAAAGGACTCCTGCAAGTCTACAGCAAAATAATAGACAACCCCATTCAAAAACGGGCAGAAGACTTGAATAGACATTTCTCCAAAGCAGATCTACAAATGGCCATTTAGCATGTGTGTAGATGTTCGACATCACTAGTTAGGGCAATGCAAATCCAAATGTGTGTAGATGTTCGACATCACTAGTTAGGGCAATGCAAATCCAAACCACCAGGAGATCCCATTTCACACCCAATTAGGAGGGCTTTTATTCAAGAAACAGGAAGCAACAAGGGTTGTGAGAATGTGGAGAAATCGGAGCCCGCGGGTGCTGTCGGTGGGAACGCAAAATGGTGCAGCCGCCAAAAATGGTGTGGAAAACGCTATGGAGGGTTATCACAAAATTTTAAAACACGTTCCCATATGATCCAGCAATTCCATTTCTAAGTACCTTCCCAAAAGAATTGAAAGCAGGGACAGAGAGATACTCATACCCCCATGTTGATAGAGCCCCAGGGTGGGAAAAGCCAAGTGCGCATCGACAGATGAATGGATAAACAAAATGTATTCTACACAACGGCCCAATCTTCAGCCCCAAAGAAGGAAGGACATTCTGACACTTGCTACAACATGGATGGACTTTGAGGATATTATGCCAAGTGAAATAGGCCAGACCCAGACGATACAGTGTGACTCCACTTAAAGGAGGTACCTTGGGTCATCGAATTCATAGAGGCAGAAAGTAGAATGGTGGTGGTAGGGGGCTGGGGGGCAGGGGCGAGTGAGGAGCTGTTAAAGCGGAGAAATAAGCAAGAGACGAGAGATGGAGTGTCTTAGCTGCGCTTCCCCAGAAGCAGAGCTGAGACCGAGCTGGAATGCAAGTCGTCTCCCCAGGAGGTGACCCCAGGGAGCATGGGAGAGCCACTGGAAGGGAAGGAAGTCTCCACGGGGGCCGGGAGCAGAGATCACTGTGGACAGGGGGGCCTGGCCCCATTGGGCACCTCCAGGAGACTTGACCTGCTGAGGGGATGAGGAAATCAGACTCTCCAGCTACTCGGGTCTTCACCGGTTGGGGCTGGGCCTCCTAGGCAGGTTGGAACGTTTGTTCGTGTGGGGCACTTCAGCATCTGCTCTAGGCAGCTGCGTGGGCATCGAGGGAAGACATTCCTGCTGGGGGCACAAAGGCCGCTGAGATGGGGGCAGACAGTGCCATGGGGAGGTGGTGGGGCCTGAGTCACAGAGGTGACCGAGGGCCTGTGGCCACGGCAAGGGCTTTGGCATGTGCTGGGGGAAGACTCTTTCTCAGCATCACTCTGGCTGCCAGGTGGAAGGAGAGTAGACTGGGGGGCACGAGCAGAAGCAGGGGGACGAGGCAGGAGGACGAGGCAGGAGGGTGCGGGAGAGAGAAGCAGATGTGTGCTTGGCCCAGTGGAGATGAGAAGCGGTCAGATTGCAAGTCCCTTTGAAACCAGTCTTAGCAACATCTCGGACCGATTTTGAGGCTTTTGAGGCCTTCTGGTTCCTTTCCTTGTCTCCACACAGTCCACTCCAGCCCCAGATCCCCTTCGGGGTGGCAGGTGAGGGACTGTAGGGTCTGCTCGTTATGGTGCAGAGTCCGGCTGGCTGGTGGGGCAGGGAACAGAGGCACGTATGGCCTTGCTGTAGCGGCCTCTGCTAGTCGGGGTGTCTCCTGTGGACGTGTGACCCTGCTGGACTCCGGTGAGCCTCCCTGGACAACTGGGCCTGGGGACCCCCACAGGAAAGCAGGACCTCCCTTTGGTCCCAATCAGGGTGGGGAGCCTCGTGAGGGGCTGATAACCTTCTGGGCAGTCCCCCCCACTTTCTGCCTGCCCCCTTCCTCCTCCCCATTCCTGCCTGCCCCAGCCACTTCCTTCCTGGAATGGCTGAGCTCCCTGTCAAAAGTCTCCAGGGGCCACATGGGACTGGGAGGTCCCAGCCTTCTCTTTCTGGGGATGCCCACCCTGGGCTGGAGTCCTGTGGGCAGGGGGTTGCACCTGTCCTGTCATCTCCACGCAAGAAGGGACCCTGCCTCCAAGTTCACGTATGTCCCGGATCCCCGGGGATATGCGCTCTCTCAAGGATGCTTGTCCCTGCTCTGGTTTTCAGGATGGTCCTGCAGTGCTCCCAGGCTCCCTTGGTTCCCGGAAGGGAGGCAGAATCCCACACATTCCCCCAAGACACTTTGCAGCCCAGACCGGCCAGTCGTCCTCTGCGGACTGTGGAGGAAGGGGGGAAAGGCTGGAGGTGGCCAGTCGGGGTACGCGGGGGCTGTTGTGTCTGATATGCTTGGGCTGGGGTGGGTTGGCCCCACTTGTTGGGGTTCTACTCCACTTGGAGTAGGTCTCTGGCCCAGGGGGGCTGTCATTCCTGGGCTCAGGTCACTGGCTGTAGGTCCAGGTGTCAGAGTGGATGGGTGGGGGACCCCGAGGGTGCCACTCGGCTGCAGGGCTGAGCGTTTTCCTCACCCCGCATCCCTCGTCCCCCACCTCTGCTGGGTGGAATGCGTATTTCCGTGTGTCCCCGTGTGTTTGCGTGTGCACGTGCCCACAAGCGGGCCTGTGTATCTGTGCCTGTGAGTGTATCTGTGGGTGCGTGAGTTGCCCACGTGTATACCTGTATATGTGTGTGCCGCTGGTCTGTGCATTTGCACAAGTGTGTGTGCCTCTGCGTGTGCGCATGTCTGTGTCTGTTGGCATGCGTGTCTAAGTGTGTACGTGCTGGGGGGCTCTGCTGAGTCTGTGCCGGTGCCGAGCCGGTAGCCCTGCCAGCCGGGCTGTGGCCTCCCCACAGTTACATAAACACTGTCCCAGCTCCCCCCTCAAGCAGGGTGGTCTAGCCTGTGGCCCTGTGGCCGGTGGAAAGGGATCGGAGGGGGCAGAGGGTTGGTGCCCCTGTTAACCTGGTCCTCTCCATGCCTCGAGGGCCGGGGCCCGTGCTCTGTAAGGTGGGGTCCAATCTGGGGTCTCTCTATGCCTCCCTTCCCCCATCCCTGAGGCCTGATCTCTGAGGTCTTTCTAAGGTGGCAGGAATATTCACCTCTGGTTTCAGTCCTGGTCCAGGCTGATCCAGAGGGTCAGCGGGGCAGCCCAGGGAAACTGAGGGCCAGGGGCAGTGGTCAGCCTCAGGACCCCAGAAACAACTGTCCCTCCTCTGCTCCAACATCCCTGCTTGGCTGCTTCTGGCTCTCGGCAGCCTGCTACACCCTGCAGCTTCTCCCCAGACGCCATCCTCAGGGTTCAAGGGGTCACCCCTGGGACATGGAGCAGATAGCACTTAACTGGGTGGCCAAGAAGGCCAGACACTCAGGCCGAGGTAGAATGAAGTCAGCCAGGGTCTTGAAGACATCAAGTATTAGAGGAAGATCTTCCTAGGCCACGAGAAGAAAGGAAATCAGACTGTGGGTATGAGAAACTGGGTGCTAGGGTCCAAAGTGCTCCACAGCAGAGGGGCTGACAGAAAGCTGGTGACCATCTTAAGAGAACTCGGGGGTGGAGTAAAAGGGTCCAAGCCACGGACTGTATGAAGTCAGGGGCAGGGTGGGGTG